AAGAACGTCGTAACCAAGGCGAAGCTCAATCCAATTGCTGACGCAGGTAGGATTGTTCTGCACTTAGGGTAATAAGATCCATCTCGCACTGGATCAAACATTATTGAATGCTCTACTTATATAAACGTCAATGGTGAGTTGATGAATTTATCTGTCGCCTATCGGATTTAATTTGTAATACCACAATAAACGTTCTCATAGAAACCGCTCAGTGAGACCAATAGCCACGTTGGGACAATGTGCAGAAGAAACAGCAATATGCAAGGCTCACGTAAGGTAGTCAGCAGAAACCTACGCAAAACTCACCCGGATCTGATCGGGAATCGTTCAGGTGATAGAGGATCGGCACGAGCAGATCGAGCACTTGACTGGATTTTAACACATAATACATGAACTTCTTATTGATCTCGCACATTCGCCAGAACAGGACAAGCAACTCCTGATGCATCTGAACCTTTTTGGTCGATCCGGGCAGGTAGGTGGGCGTAAGCGGACTGTTCAAGAGCCGGGTCAAACCGGATAAAATGAAGGCAAAATCCTGTGACGACAGAGCAACAAAGGGTCAAGCATAAGTGGTTCAGCAAACGGGGCCTGGAAGGTTGTTTCGGACAGAAATCACATAAATCATACAAGCCAAATCGAGTCAAGTCACGAAAGGCCGCGTGTATCTTAACGAGTAAACTTTTAAATCCGGTCCACAAATTACGGCCAAGTGAGAAAACAGAGCGTTGACAAGGATGAAACAATAAAATACTGAAGGCACTATAAAATTTAGGCAGTGTTGTTAGTAATATTTAATGTACTTGAGTAAAATAAGCATTTAATAAAGACTAATAATACTATCACTTAACTCACAGTTATTCATGAGTAGTGGTGTGGGATAATGGATATTGATTGATTAGAACTCACCATCCTTCAGGCTTCACCTTCACGAACGTTCCTCCGCTTTTCCAGTCAACCACACCCGGGAAGCACTAAACTCGAGTTTCGCTTTCATTAGAGCTCACTAGTAGCGCATATCCACCGTCCCGTCCGGGCTTAGAAATCCGGACCCATCGCATGGAAGGCGTAGGTGTTACCGCTGTGCCAATCAATTCATACCAGAGCTGATCTGAATTGCCAATTCATGCCTCTTCAGGTGTGTCGTCTTCAGAGGTAGTCAAACGCGCCTTCTACGAGACGGGACGGTGGATATGCACTACTGACGAGCTCTAATAAGGGCAAAACTCGAGTCTAGTGCATCCGGGTGTATGGTTGACTTGCTGAACTGAGGATTGTGCGTGACGGTGAAGAACGGTCAATCAGTCAATACTAACAATACCGCTCTAATGCCTGGTTGTACAGGAAAAGATAACCTTAAAATAAGAGCCAGTACGGGACACGACCGCTCAGCGAATGTCATTGTGCAAGAAACAGTGGTCGAGTAAACAGGTTCGCTGGAACTTTAAGAAACACTGAATGCAGCTCAGAAATGGTCTATTGAGAACGACGTCTAATTCAACATCTCCAAATACAAGGCGATTTCGCTACGCCACCGTGGGCGGTTTCCTTATTTCCTCGGAAAAGAATTACTGCCTCATGTATCAACAGAGAAGGACTTGGGTGTTATAGACCACGAAGACTTGAGCTGTTCTATAAACTGTGCCAGGGCGTCATCAACAGCACTCAAACATGTCAGTCGACTTAAACGTGTTTTCGGTCGTTTTGAAACATCGTTAGTCCCATGTTTGCTGTCAGCATATATTTTTTTATTACACACCAGTGTGTGATAAACAGCAGTCGGGGAGGACCCCATAGTCACGAAGACCTGCTGTTTAGTGAGGGTAACCGGCAACCTAAGCCCAGGGGCTTGGAATGGAGAACCACATAAGACCCCGCTAGCTCAGGCGTGGTGTTGAACCGGACGACATATTGAATATGCCATCCAAACCTGGAACCCATGGTTGCAACGTGATCATAAGATTTCGGAGCGTCCACAAAGGCTCGCCAGGGAGATGTTCAAAGGACGTTATTATGATTCATACACGGGGAGACTGCAGTCATTGGGTCTATACTCTGCTCAGTATCGTCGGATTCGAGGAGACTTGATTTTAATGTACCAAATATTACACAACCCAAACCACCCTTGTCGCCGACTTTTGACGTTATCATCAAACGTTCATCTACGGAGACATCCTTTCAAGTTACTACTCCAAAAATCTCGACTAGTCAGTCGACGTCATTCCTTCACCGTCAAAGTGCGCAGTTCCTGGAATTCCTCACCATCTCAAGTCGATCGTGCCGAGACGATAAATTCTTTCAAGGTAAAGCTTGACGAATTATTAACACACAATACATTCCAACATCCATGAGCACACATAACACAACCGAATACATCATATGGAATTTTGTTCATCATTGTTACAGTTCAATTCGTATAAATACCCTATGGGACAAGAAAAGCATCTGCCTGTAGGTAATGCCCATAATAAAATTTTGACTTTGACTTTGATATCGCAATGGTTGAAAACAATGAAGTCTGTAAAATCACCACGAGATTTACTTCTGGATATGGTTGAGAATTTAAGTGGCATAAGAATACGTGTAATTATTTTACAGATGGCGTTATAATGGCACTGCTATGAAACACGGCAGTCGCCGATCTTGTTCACAATTTTGATAGGTGTTATTAGCGTACTTTGGCAGTACGATAAAGTAAAAGTGTGTCAAAAGTCAGTTCTTCAGGAAATGCTCTCGACATATTTTCTCTATTCCACTGGACACGAATCACATTTGGTAAGGGAATCACAGGGTTTATATATAACCCTGAACCAAACAGATTGTTCGACGGGCAAAATTAAAGT